ACATGCACACTGCTACAGATAAGAGCCCACAACACAGGGAATCCAGGATAGATAAACCCCACAGGGCCAGCAATGAGAGTAGAGAAACGGAGGATTAGGGGAGGGTGGGGGTAGCAAAGAGAAATTGATCACAAGGATCAACCAATAACCACCTCTCGGGGACAGGCAATAGAAAATTGGGTGAGAGGCGATAGAGGACGATGTAAGATATGAAAACAATCTGTAACTTATCAAGGGTTCATGAGGGAGGGGGAAGAAATTGGGAACTGATATCAGGGGCTCAAGTGGGAAGAGAATGCTTTGAAAATGATGATGGTGGCATATGTGCAAATGTACTTGACACACTGAATAACTGTATGGATTGTGATAAGAGATGTAAGAGCCCACAATAAAATTATTTTAATTAAAAAAGTAATTTATCAAGGGGTCATGAGGGTGGGAGGGAGGGAAAAAGGAGCTGATACCAAGGGCTCAAGTTGAAAGAAAATGTTTTGAAAAGGATGATGGCAGCACGTGTACAAATGTGCTTGATACAATTGATGTATGCATTGTTATAAGAGCTGTAAGAGTCCCCAATAAAAAGATTTATAAAATAAATTTAAAAATTTTACAAAGAAACATTACCTAGTGATGGGATAATTTGGATAAACATAACAAAAATGATTGTACAACTTGAAGAATATATCCAATGTCACTAAGATATTTAAGTTAAAAAAAAGATGTTTAAGTAAAAGTTGTTCAATTGCTGTGTGTTATGCTCTATGTAATTTGAACATGATTTTTAAAAAGAAAAAAATCATTAAAGAACATTTTGTTTCATGTGTAGTTTAAGGAATTTCTTGGAACCTACAATAAACTTACAGAAACCTGCTTTTTGGACTGTGTTAAAGACTTCACAACAAGAGAAGTGAAACCTGAAGAGGTAAGAAAAGTGTTGCCTTCTAATACTTCTCTGCAGTTTTGGTAAATCGTGTACATGGGATTCCCCTAGGTCTTTAGCTTGTTCCCAGTTACGGGAGATTTAGACTACCTATTCTGTTTCCATTGGTCAAAGGAACTGAAGCTCCCAGGACCCATGACAAGTTTAACGAGGCCGAATTTAACATATGGTCCTATTGTGCTGACACACCTTTTTGGAGAAGATGCTTGGGGTTGAGTTACTATTTGAGAAAAGATTCTTACTAGTTAGCTTTCAATTAAGATGACCTGTCAGACAAATAAGATGTAAGACCTTTCTTTCTGTCTGACCCCTAGAACAGGAAAGAACAGAGCTTGAATTCAGTGGACTCCAAATCCCCAATCCTATTGGAAGTATTAACTTTTAATATTCCCTATCATAGTATTTATACATTGGTTCAAGATGACATTAAAACTTCCTTCCAGTACGTACTTGCTAAATAACTGATGAAGTTTAGGAGAAATGTTAAGTTCAATACTTGTGGTTTAAAAAAAAAAAAAAAGACTGAGAATTTGGATACGAATGGATTTTCTCATTCACGTGGGTACTGCCCTCTATTCCTGTATTTTATCCATTGAAAAGGAGGATGAGAGTGTGGGCTTTCAGTTAATATAGAAACATACCTCCAGAAAAACAGCTTCATGAAGTTAGGAGCTTACTTACCATTGTTCTTAGTGCCTCCAAACTGGTAAGCATTCAGTATACAGTCATATTTGTCAAAAAATGGAGATATTGATTAAAAGTTACACATTGCCAAACCCATGGTCATGAATTTGATTCCAACTTTACAGCAGCCATATATGGGTTTTTTAGACTGTAAATCTGAGACAACCTCGTCTTTCGCTTACAGAGGATCTGGTGGATTAGAACTGCTGACCTTGTGATTAGAGCACCACCAGGAATCCTTTGCTACACAATACCATTTAATTATCAGATAGAGTCTAGGAAAAGCAAAGTTTTTTAATACTTTTTTTTATTATTATTTATGTTTTTGTTTCTGCCTCTTTGGATCTTCTGTTTTTATTTCCCAGACCACGTGTTCAGAGCATTGCTTACAGAAATATTTAAAAATGACACAAAGAATATCCATGAGATTTCAGGAATATCATATTCAGCAGAATGAAGCTCTAGCAGCCAAAGCAGGACTCCTTGGCCAACCCCGCTAGAGGTGGATGGACTGGGGTGTGATGTTGCCCTGGAATGAGGATTCACTTGACAGAAGGCCTCGAGAGCAAAAGCCCCCGTGCCCCACGGTCTGGGAAATGGGAACCACTGGAGAACCAACTGCTGTGGACCAGGCGTCATCAAACAGAAGGTCTGTGCAATGGAAATAGTAACATGCAACACTTGTGGAGGCCTTAAGACTCGCAGCTTGGTCAGTTGATTAGAAAAATAAACTATTGTTTCTTCAGTTGTGACTGTTAATTTTAAATCAAAATATGTGTCCAATCATGTAAGAGACAGAAAAAAAATTTTTATTACTAAAAATAAATGGAAGCCACACTGAATAGTTGTTTATCCTATATAGTACCATAGTATTCTGACTGGACTGTGGATACGTTGAAATATTTTTCAGTTGGGATCATCCTCCTGTTCATTTGCGTCTGCCTCAAATTGCTGGTAAATACATAAAACAGTTACTTTTTAATCATTTCAATACATAATCTTCTTCTTGCCTTCCTTCTTGTATAAGAGTGGGCAATACACATTCTTATCCTGGCGACATTTTCACACAACTCCAGGGAGAAGCCCATCTAACTGTTGTTCTCTAGTGTAGACAGATTTATTTTGTTTTTATTGTTTGCATTGTGCTCAGAAGCTGAGGCAAGCTTGAGTGGTTCTAAGATGAGCAATGTGATGTGTGATCACTATAAAAAGAACCCAAGGAAAAGTAGTGTCTTAGAGTCAAATGAATTCCGAAACATGTTTAAGTATTTGAGGAAATTCTAGGTGATGCGTAAGTACACCAAGCAGATTGGTCAACTCAACTGGACCAATAGCCTTTAACTGGTTGCCTTATGAATGGATTCCATTTAATACCAATCTAAACTTACAATTAATAGAACATTAATGAACCTCTGTTTACATTTATCAAAATAATTTGTTTTCTTATGTTAACTGAAAGTATAAGTGTTCTGCGTTGATAATTTACTATGAGGGGGGCTTCAAAAAGTTCATAGAAAGATTCCATTATCTTTCCATGTTTCCATGAACCTTTTGAATTCCCTTCATAAGCCATTAATCCCGTAACACCACTTACCTTACATGCCTCTATCCACATTATAGTTACTAATTATATCTTTGGAAAGGTAAATATCAACAGTGTAAAATGTTAAAGAATGAGTAACACCCACAAAATAGACCATTTCGTATTATTCCAAGGGATGTGAAAGAATAAACTTCTTTTATCAGAGAGCAAGAAAGGCAACCAACAGACATGTCGGACTTTGGGCCATTCACAGATACAGTTGGCTATTTCTTTGTGATCAAGCTCAACCTAGTTATTTACTGTATTCATATCACAAAGACAGCTAAACATGTGCTCACCTGGCAGATAAGGGGAATTTGGTGCAACAGCATCTCAAATACCTTGGGAGGAAGTGTTTGCTTGAAAACCGTGAGAAGTTCGTGTGGTTGTCCACACACTAAAAGGGCATTGCTGAGATGATCAACCCCCATTCTGTGCTCTCCTGAAACAGACGGATGCATTTGGGGCATAATTTGAAACTTTGTCAAAATAAAGTGTGAGTTACATAACTAAGAAAGGGATTTATGAAATTTGATTTCTAAGTAAAATTCTATAGGTGCTACTGCATTAGACAGACTAAGAATGAGGGTTCATAAATGAGCGCTGTTATGAAGACTTCCCAAAGAAGGCCAGGTTTCTAGATTACATAATCTGGGAGATTTATGCGTGGCCTTTTACCTGACAATAAGGGAGGTGTGCTTTTATTTGGCTTTGCTGCAAAGGCTGCAATATAAACTTTACAGTAAAGCTGGATAATGTGATGACACTCAACATGCTCATTAACGGAAGCAAGTGGGTCTTAATACATTTAGCTAGTTAGTTGACATGCAAATACTAGTCAAGTATTTTTCTTAAACATTAACTACAGACAAAGGGACATTTACATTCTTACCTCTAGATAACCAAAGTTCTCCCATCCGTACTTCTTGCAGGAACAGTTCTTGTAACTTTTCATTTGCTGAATTCCATAACTAAAAGATTCACAAAACATTTCACTGGATTATGAGCATATGCTATAGGGTTACTGATCAAATTAATTAAAAACAAAAACTTGAGCAGAACCCAAATCTACAGTATTCTAGTTTACCCAGCTGTCTAAAATATACAGGAAAGACTAATCAATATGATTTTCACAGGTAACTGTATATTTACAAAGCTATTGTCTAGGGAAGGGTGGTAAACTTTTAAAGAGCCAATCATGTCCCTCACAATTTAAAAATTATTTGAGAGCCATAAGTATATCTTTACCAACAAGTGAAATCACCATTTTCTGAATGATAGTTTTTCAGTTTTACTTCAGAGCCACATGTATGTGCCAAGAGTTGCATATGGCTTGAGAGCTGCAGTTTCCAATCCCCAAATGTGGGTATTTCCAGGAGCTCTAGTGGCGTAGTGGTTATGTATTGGGCTGCTAATTGCTAGGTCAGCAGTTCAAAACTACCAGTTCCTCTGCGGGAGAAAGATGGGGCTTTTTACTTTTCTGTAATGGGTTACAGTCTCGGGAACTCACAGGGACAGTTCTACCCATCCTGTGTCCTGCAGGGTCACTATGCATTTGCATCAACTCGATGGCAGTGAGTTTGTTTTGCCTACAATGCTTTCTCTGCCCTGCTGGGTCATGTGTTAGAAATGTGATCTCTGTTCATGCAGTATAACTCTAGTGACCACACCCATTGTCACTGAGATACTTTCAGCTGAACAACCCCATAGGACATAGTTGACATGTCCCCATAGGGTTTTCAAGGCTGAAAACCTTTTACTGTGGAAGCAGACTACTGTGTCTTTCTCCCAAGGAAGAGCTGGTGAGCTTGAACTACCAGCCTTTTAGGGAGCTGCCAAGTACATAGCTGTGCCATCCTGGCTTTAATTCTCTAATACACCAAAACCGGAATCCATTGCCATTGTTTCCATTGACTCAGCCAGGCAAAAAGATAAGCTGAAGATTTTGTATGGTAGTCCTACATGGTATAGTAGGGATTTGGCACTTAGTGCTCAGGTGGGGCACTGGTTCCCTGCAGTCTAGCTCAGGAAGGCACCCATGGTCATGAGGTGGCATCGTCCTTCATCGCTGGTAATGTTAAGTCATTCAAAAATCACTGGTGGTTTAAGGTAGAGTAGGCTGGCCCTAGCTGCAAATAGCAAGTCGACTGCCAGTCATCCCTGCTGCTATCTGTCAACCTTCAGAGGGATTTTTTGTTTGTTTGTTTTGGTTGTCTCCAAGAACATTCTGGAGAATGAAAAGAGCCTATGTGAGTAGTGCATTTTAAGCTTTTACCCATATGCTAGCGATGAACAACCACAGGTTTCAATCAACAAATGTCTCGTGAGAACATGTTTTAGAGTAGGAAGAGCTGGAGGGGATAGGAAGCCAGGTCATCATGTGTTATCCACAAGGAGTTTGACCTGTGAAAATGCCCTTAGGGACAACAAATTCCAGTGTCCTGTACGGGTCAAAGTACAGAGACACTGCATCTGGCTGGCCCGGGAATAAGGAAAGGTTTCTCAAAAAGGATAGCATGTGCTATCCTGTGGAGACAGTGGCCGTTTTCATGAAAAAGTACAAGTGATGGAAAATACCAAGTGCTCTTATTTAGCTGGTGTCAGAGGAAACCAGCCTCCAACAATCAAAAGGCCAGAAGTCACAGGTGTACAGCGACGATAGAAAAAGATGATGAGAAAGATAGGAGAGAATGATGCAATAAAGGAGTCTGACACATTTTACAGTAGCATGCTCATCTCAGCTTCTCTTGATGGACCATGCCAAACAGCATGTGGGAGAAGTGAGCTTGAGCAGTTACTATCTGGGGATCTTGATAGGTAAGCTTAAGACATGCATATTCAGTAGTTACATATGTCACAGGGCGGGTGGTATCTACATTGAAGGTCCCTGAGCTCACAGGTGAGGAAACCTAATACCTGAATTGGAGGAAGGTACAACGGGGGTTGGGTGTCATGGCGGGAAGAGAGAAAAGGATAATGTCTGCTTCTGTAGGGAGATATAATCAACCACGTGCTCACTTTAAGGCAGCATAGCTGTTAGGGGAGAATCTGTGGGTATGATTTTTAAAGCAGGATAATGTACCTGGACTTTACCTCTAATTTACGAAAGTGGAGGCTTTCCTACCATTGGAATACCAGCTTTCCAGAGTCCCTCTGTAATAAGTTAGGGAATATATTGCCCTCGGTGTTAGTTTCCCACAAGCTGGATTTTGATGGGATGAGGGAGGAAGCAAAGGAGACATGTAACACTATTACACCTTGTCCTCAGAGCATTATGTGAAAATCACATTATGCGAAAAGGGAAAGTGATCATATCAGATCACAAAATGGAGATGACAGCATCAGCACATAACTGCCAACCAACCAAGTGTGGCCCAGCCAAACTGGTGCATAATCATCACAGCCAGCACTGATCCGGCTTCATACCTCATGTTCTTTATAGACATAGATATATATGTCAATGCACAAAGGACATCTTTAACCAGTCAGAAATGCAAAATGTCAGATAATGAGAAGTGTGAAGTAGGTGTAAATGCCAACTATTGAAAGCCAGCTGTGGTCTAAAAACCTTAAATATATTATTCCAATAATTAGGAAAATAAGGTGTTGATAGAAAAGGCCCTTGTGAGAGGTCATGATGTCAGACTAATCTGCAGTATAGAGCACTACTGCAAGGAGTTCATTCAGAACTGAAAAACAGGAAACATTTACTCTGTTAACATGAGAACCAGAAGCCTGGGTAAATAGTAATCAATGCCTGAAGTAGTGTGGAAGCAGTAAAGTATGTGATAAGCCGTAGGAAAACAGCATTCGGGACTGGTTGTGGATGATGAGGCTGACATTTAATCAGAATGAGGTGAGGTCATAGTAGGCGATCCATATGTACATATCTGAGCAAGAACAGTGGCAAGGGATGAGAAGATGGAATTTACTACTGCACAACATAGGAAACAGATGACAGCGCAGTGTAATGTGGCTCGGAATGCTTCCGGAGATGGCGTATTGAATCGTACCTCTGATGAGCACTCTGGGGGGAAGCAGAGTTCCTAGGGAAAACTGGGAGGAGGAGGAGAACAGAATCACCTGGAGGGTCTCTTAAATTTGGAGTTTCTTGGGCTCTACCCAGACCTACTGAAACAATTTCAAAGAGTTCACTCAGGTTCACTGCCATCGAGTGGATTCCAACTCCTAGCGACTCTAGGACAGAGTAGAACTGCCCATGTGGGTTTCCAAGACTGCAGTCATCACAGGAGGAGCAAGTCTCTCTCTCCCTGGAGCAGCTGGTGGTTCCCAACTGCTGACTGGCGATCAGAAGCCAACGCAACCCACGACGTCACCAAGGGCCTTGGAATGTCAGTCCTCACAAACTGCTCAGGTAATTCTTCATGCCCTCTGAGAGCCAAGATGTGGATCGAAACCCTTGGGGTGCCCCTGACCTCCTCTTTTAGAGTCTCTGGTACTCAACTCTTATGCCATCAAGTAGATTCCAACTCAAAGCAACCCTACAGGACAGAGTACAACTGCTCAGTTGAGTTTCTGAGACTATGAATCTCTATGGGAGTAGAAAGCGGCATCTTTATCCCACAGAGTTCCCGGAGGGTTTGAACCGCTGATCTTGTGGTTAACAGCCCAACTTATGTAATCCTCTATGTCACCAGGACTCTCACATCACTGGTGCCATGATCAAATCAACTTTATTTTTAATAAACACCAAAGAACTGAGTTATGAGGATTGTGGGAAAAAACAGTTACAAAATCCTGCTCAGTAATCCAGCTCTTCAATATTCCTCGTCTGAACTCCCACTGCATGCTCTCCTTGTCTACATCTCCCATCTCTACCCCATCTCCATAATGACAGAGTACTTTTCCCTAAAAACGACAAAACAATAATTGCACTCCTTTTCTGAAATACAGTCATCGTCACTGGTTATCTATCACAATAGAAAAACCTCCACTCCTCACTTTGGCCTTCAAAGCCTCCCAGCAAGAAAACACCAAGCTGTCAGGTCTTGTTTCCCACTCTACGTCACCACTCAGCTGTCTTTCGGACCACAGCATCCCTGAGGGCTGCCCTTTGGCGGTGTGTGCGTGGAGCGGGGGAGGTGTGTTTAATCCTCTGTACATGCTCTTTCCTTCTGACTCGAACAGATTCAACAACTATTGTATGAGTACCCACAATGCACCAGCCCCCGTTGGCTCTGGGTGGAGCGGGAGACGTTAAAGAAAGCCTCACAGGTGGATATGCACCTGCAACAGGGGATGCTGGCAATGAGGGGGGAGAGGGGCCATGGAGCTGCACAGGACTACCTCGGCCAGACAGGTCAGGGAAGGTAGCTCCACTCACAAAGGGGCTTCGAACTGTTCATGCACTTTACAGAGCCCTCTTAGCTAGCTCCTCAGGCACTCCCTGTCAGGCTTCTTCCCAGGCATAGAGATCTCCGACTCCCGCCTTTCCGTGACCCTATCATCAAGCAGTTCTCAGGTCCCACCTACTCTCCATGGACAATTTATTACTGACACCACCATAGTTCAGAACATTTCTCATTCTCACGTGTACTGCTATTTTTGCCTCCCATGCATTAGGGGCTGGGTGTGGATGATGAGGTTGAACAATAACAGTGGCAAAGGATAAGAAGATAGAATTACTGCACAGACAAATCTACAACAACAACAACAAATGTTCTTTTTATCTAGTAACTTTAATTATTGCCCAGAAATACTTTGTACTTTCCCCAGTAAACATGAATTTCTTAGCCTGGCCTTCAAAATTCCCAAAACCAAACTCACTGTCACTCAGTCGGTTCTGACTCATAGTGACCCTACAGGACAGAGTAAAACCACCCCTGTGGGCTTCTGAAACAGGAAATCTTTATGGGAGTAGAAAGCCTCATCTTTCTCCCAAGGAGTGGGTGATCGTTTGAAACCGCCCAGTGCATAACCTACCAGAACTCCTAGCCTGGCCTTCAAAGCCTTTCCTAATTCATTCAACCACTACTTAGTTCAACAACCTTACTTTCCACTGTGACCCCATTGCCAAGCTGATCTCTTCAACAGGTCTGGCAGAGTTCCCACTGTGACCTCTATGAAAGTGTAAGTGCAGTTTTCTCTACCCTCAATCTTGCCTCTTCTGAAAACTGGCCCCAGAGTCAGCCCGTTCTTCTAGGCTTTGTTCAATTGCAGCCTTCTTCCTAGGGCTGCTTTGTCCAAAAAGAACCATAGCACCATTCCTGGTCTCAGAGGCACTTTAAAAGCCTCATTTCTCCCCCACCAAAAAGTCGAGTCTCTGCTTGAGAGCGAGCAAGCCTTGGGGCTGTGGAAGTGGTACCAACTCTCAAGTGCTCTCTACAACACACTAACACACACCCTGCTTTGTCCCAGGGGACCCAATCCCCATGCGGTGAGGATGTCCAGCCCATATGGCAGTGCTTCTCGACCTTCCTCACAGTTCCTCATGTGGCGGTGACCCCCATCCATAAAGTTATTTTCGTTGCTACTTCATCACTGTAATTCTGCTACTGTTATGAACTGGGCGACCCCTGTGAAAGGGTTATTCGACCCCTCAAAGGGGTCACGACCCACAGGTTGAGAACCACTGCCATATGCAGTCCCCTGGCCAACAGTCTCAGCTAAGTGGACAGCCAGCATCAGCCACCACATAGGTGAGTCTTCAAATGACCAGCCCCTAGACCTTGACCCACAGTGGCTGACGTTGAGTGACACGGTAGCAGAGGAGCGCCATCTCACCAAGCTCTGTGCACATTGCAGATTACAGCATAAAACATGTTCTTTTCACCCGGAGTTCAAGAACAGCAAGAGGTCACTGGAACACCTGCCAGGATAATCCTGCTCTGCCTCAAAGATACGGATTCCTGCTCCTCTGCACTCCTGGGACATTGGCTGGCCTCTCACCCCGCCTGGTGGAGGGGTTCTTCTTCTTCCCTATTGCTGACATGTGCGCTTCCCCGCCAGTGCCTTCTCACACACAGGTGGCTTTCAAACTGGCGCTGATGGCTCAGTGGAATGAATGAAAGCTAACACACTGCCGTCGAGTTCGATTCTGACTCCTGGTGACTATGTGACAGGGTAGAACTGCCCCTGTGAGCGTCCAAGACAAGCACTTTACAGGAGTTGAAAGCCCCCTTTCTCCTGCTGGTGGTTTTGAACTGCTGACATGGAGGGTCGCTGCGTTCATGTAACCTCTGCACCGGATCGCCTTCGTTCACTGTGAAAATGCACACAAGAAACTATAGCCCTTCAGAACGACCGTGAGTAAAACGGCCAACCACCAGGACGATTGTCTGTAATGGTTATTTAGAAAATAAATTCCATCTAAGAGAAGAAAAACGCTATGTTCTGAGCTAGAAGAAAGGTCCTATGGTACAGAAAGCGGCCAGGTAGGAGTGACTGCCATGGTTTCTAGTGTCTTCTGTGCTTCTGTTGGGGCAAGGGCTCCTCCTGCCTGCCTTGTGTCAAGAGAACTCACGTTTTCTTTATCGAGGCCTTCTTCTGGGGGAGGTGGGTGGGAGTGGGGTAGGGTCCATTTCTCCTTCCTTTGTAGGGAGAGAATAAAATGTAAAAAATACCAGAGATGAGGGCTTGGTCCGCACAACTAGTGGAACCAGCCTGTTGCCATGGCGTCCAGGACCCTCAGTGAGTGGCCCTCTGGGACAGCGTAGAACTGTCCCTCAGGGTTTCCTCGGCTGTAATCCTTCAGAAAGGGGCCGCGGTGCGCTGTTGGGTTCAGTGTTGGACTGCTAACCACAAGGCCCGCGGTTCAAATCCACTAGCTTCTCGGTGGAAGAGAGATGATGCTGTCTGCTCTGGTAAATATTTCCGGGCCAGGAATTGGAATCGGGTTCAGGGTTCAGCTTTCAAGACACCGGTGGGTTCGAACTTCCAACCTTTCAATGAACTACGGCGCCACCAGCGCGCCTCCTCTGAACCCAAACCAAACCAAACCAAACTGCTGCAGCGCCCATTCGGAGGCGTCGCACAGAACCTGCTGGGTGCGCCCAGCACGACGCCCCGACGTGGAAAGAACGCGGCGCAAAGCAGCACGCCGACACGGAACGCCTTTCACCTGCGCATCCCTTTCCTCGGCCCGTGGCGGGGCGGTCCTTCTTTCTGCAAACACAACACGGCACGTGCTGGCT